TACTTCATAATATACTGCTGCAGCGTATTGAGAATTGAAAAAATGTTTGAAAGACTCTTTTGTTTTGCAATAGAAATTTGTTCATATAAATTGTGTAGAGCTTTTAACAGCATAGCTTTGAAAAAAAAAATCAAGACGTTATCATTTTCTCAAGTCGAAATAAATACGAAATCAAAACTGTCGCAAAACTTTTGCTACATCTGATAAATTTACTTACAAGTTAAATTTCGATTTGATGCTAATGATAACCATGTTAAATTATGAAGACCCATTAGAGCATATCTTGGTATACTTGATAATTTATTAAATGATAAATCAAGTTTAATTAATGATTTCCATTGATGAATTTGATATGGAAATATTTCAATTTGATTCCATGATAAATTTAATTTTTGTAAACAAGGTAAATGAATATGATCGAGATCTATGAATGATTCTAGTTGATTCGATGCTAAATTTAATATTTTTAATTTATTTAATTTTGAATTAAACCATTTTGATGATATATGTGATAATTGATTCATTTGTAAATCAAGTTCAATAAGAATATCACCAATTGAATCAAATGTATTTTCATGAATAGTTGTAATTAAATTGAATTTTAATAATAAACGATACATACGTAATGATAAAAGTTTTGTTGAATCAAATGATTCAAAATTACGTGATGAAAAATCAACTGTTTCCCATATTATCATATTGTTTACACAATTTGAAGAAAATGATAAATTTAGTAAATAAGATGAACAATTTAACATCTTTTCTATTGAAGAACAAATACATGTCATAGTTTGACAATAGGTACATGACAATAACATATCTTGACTTGTCAACATTGACGATGTCATCGATATTGAAGAATTGAACGTAATTTCAGTAAAAACAACTGACATACTAATCAATATCAGGAGAAAGACGAAATTTGTTCGATACATTTTATATTAGTGTCAAGTTTTCAGAATCTATATTGAGTAATAAAAAGAATATTAATTGCTTGTAATGTTTATATAAAAGACTGATGAATAAGACAGAACGGTGACAAAAGTGAGAAAAAAAAAAGATTGAGTCAGTGAGTATTACAACTGTAGGACACCGGTCTATAGATGAGAACAAAAGAATAAGAGAAAAAATGCAAAGAGAAAGAAAAATTGGTCAAAAGTTCACCATTAAATGGAAGAATGTGTATGACCGTATGTATGTATGTATCAAAGGATGAAGTATTATTGAATAAATTTGATTGAAAAGAAACAATTCTATAGTCTAGTCAAGTCTACTTCAAACAAATAACAGATGTGTATAACCTATGTTTTTGAATTTTACTTCTAGCTATAAGAATCATATCATATATATATTCTTGTTTTTTTCAGAATATTTCTATCTGAACAAAAAAAAAATGCTCTGTTGAAGAAAAATCAAGAACGAAAAACATAAGAGAACAATATTTTAATATATGATGTTCAATGTTAAACGAATAAATCAATAGAATTGAATTGAACCATAAAGACATTCACTATTGACATTGTGTTAATCGTGTATTGATGATATGTCTGTTGACTATATGACTTGTCAATCACTATTTGTTTACAAGAGGCCAATATACTTTATATTATATTGTAGACAACTATGATGAAGTGAAACAGATTAATTGCAACTTGACCAGCATATAAGATGTTGAGCAGTAAAATTTTATCAGTTTGTTCTTAAATTTCTTTCGATATATTATTGAACATGATAATTAAACCTAGTATTGATTTCAGTATAGAAAAAAAAAGGGCGATAAGTAAGTATCAATATTAACGAAACGATATGTTTTATTGATGTTGATATTATTCGATGATTGTTAATTTCATCAAACTAATAAATGAATTAACTTCATTTTTAAAGAATAAACATTCAGATACACGTCAAAAATATATAAGAACACACAGTAGCAATGATATCAATATTATTATGCATATTTTCGTAGATAATAAATACGTAAACTTGAACAAAAACAGATCAAATTACGTGCACTTGGCATAACTAACACTTTGCAAGTTTTTTTATGACTAGTGTAATAATTTCTGTATCAAACACTTCAATATAATAGTCATACAATAAAATTTAGATGAGCTAAAATTAAGTAGAAAAAATTCGACTTAGAATATCATTCGTACGAAATAATAAATATTGCTGAAAATTAGTTAATTAAAAAGAAAATTATTCTGAATATCACATATGATAATCATGTCTTTGAATAATTTAATAAATGGATTATCTAGGATAAGACACAGGACTACTGACAGATCTACTTAATAAAAACTCATTGCAAGAAATATGTTATAAATTGAAGTGTACATGTAGGTGGTTTTTTTTTCGTTCGTATTCATATCCATCAATGGATTTCAAATATCAATGAATAGTAATCATCATGCAATTATGTATGAATAGAAAATATTAATTCGTCGATTTCACTTTCATTTGATAGTACAACAATTATGAAAACACATTTGATACTACTTGATCAATGATCATAGTTATAAAATTAATTAACTTTTGAAAACTATTCAATATAGAGGTCTAAAATATTGCAATTCTTTATATAATTTATCTCACATTAGTATTATGCGAACGAGAGACAACATGAATAATAGGCTTCACCGTAATTATTCAATCGCAAAAGCAAATAGACTGCAGTAATATTTATTAAAAGACAGGACTGATCAGAATAAAATTTATTACATAGTTCGTAAAGAGATCTATAGTATTAGCAAAATTTCTTTTGTTCATTTTATTTATTGAATAGTTGTTTTCATTAATATTTAAAATTTTTTTACATTCTATTTCCATATTATTAGGTTATGAACGTGCTTTTCTATAACGTGAACATGATAAATATTAATAAAAAAGAGCATTTTACAGAAATACACGTACGTTCACCAAGAAAAAGAAATAGTAAGCAATCATGATTCAATGCATCCTGACATTTATATATTGACCAGTAGTTTTCTTTGCAACTCAATCATAGACGTATTGCGTAATAATAAATATAAGACTAAACACGATGTTCTCTGAATTTTCTTTTGCGTTGTTAACTAACTGATAAAATCGAATTATTTTAGTCTGATCATTCCTCAAGGTTATTTTATATAGCATCTGGTTAAAGGATACTTATTACATGAAGTTTAATACATTTTTGTTTTGAACTTATCTATAGAAAAGATCATATATCAACAAACAAGTCGAGTTGAAAACATTTTTAGTACCATCAAAGTAAATCTTATACAGATGCAATTTCTTAGAACCTATACTACATGGTATCTAAGCAGATAAATTATATATTACTTAATATTTCTCAAGTAATAAAAGAAATATAACCTAGTTTAAAATATAGAAATAGACGAATTTTTAGTGACATAATATCAATTTTGAATTTTTTCTTTTATATTTTAGGCACATCTGCATTTAACTCACTAAGAATTAAAACTTACGATGATCATATGTTGTCTTTTCACTCTTGTAAGTCAACAACTTGTCTACCAGTTCTTGTTTGATTGCAAAACAAACACGTACTTAACTTTTATCTCATATAACAACAATGGTGACTAGAACAGCATATGCAAATATTAGGTCATACTTATTACAAACAAATGCTTATACATAGATGTAAATGAAATAATGCCGGCTTTTGTTAAATGTGTATATATTCTCCAAACTTTAGATAGAGAAACGCAATAATTCAAACACAAACAAATCTTATTATGTTGTCCTGCTACTAACATACAAACAAACGAAGATTTCCATTATTTCATTTGAAACCTTATCAATCTATACTGAGACGAAGTTTACTATACAACAGCTTCGATCAACTGAGTATTAATTAATAGTGCAAAAAAAAACAGTTTAATTTGAAAGTAAATTCCGGCAATTCTTGTGAGAAGAAATATTTTTATGGTCTAACCTTAAAAGCATAAGTAGCCAAAGTTCTCAGTTGTTTTATGTTAGAAAACACATTATATTACATTAAAAAATTCATGTACGATTATAACTCTAGATTAAAACGGTAGTTAGGCATGGTAATTTAACTGATCTGGTTCAAATAGAATTCTTGTTTTTTTTTCTTATAATTTTAATTAATAATGCGTTACGTATAGTTTCGCATGTTCAATCGGAAGATTGAGAGATACTATATTTACAATATCTTTTTATTCGTTCAGAAAGAAATTCGAAAATAAAATTCTTGAATTATGAAAATAAAGAAAATCAAAAAACCCAAAAAGAAGAAATACTAATACTAAATGTAAACTAAAAACTCATTTGCTCTTGTCTTGTCTACATAACCATAACAGATAAAATCATGTTTTTTCAAGTCAACGTTTCTTGAATTTGATAAATATAACATCGGATTGAATTAGAAGTTTTTATTTACATTTGAATCCTTGTTCGTGTTGAGTTCCAGGTACTATTCGATATTGACTAAATAATCAATTTTTACTTCCATTAAAGCAAATTTCATGCCGACACAATTTTTTGGACAAACACCAAATGACAATCAAGCAACTGAATGATGTTTTATTCGATGTTTCTCAGATAGAAAAAGATTTGGATCTTCACGACACCACAAATCTGAATTATAATGACTACTAAAAATATTAGGTAGAATAACACGTCCTAGAATAAAAGATTAATATAAATGTAATTGTTTAGTTTCACAACTTCTCTCTCTCTCTCTCAATAATGTGTCCACAAACCATTGTTGTTATATTACATTCATGTTAACGTCATCGATACATTCTTTATCAATACCATCTGATGGATTTTGATTTATTTCAGAAATAAATTTTGCTTGAATATCTGATTTTGTAGTCAAAACATATGTACAATAAGCTAATATAGTTGATACTATTTCATAACCAGCAGTTATAAAAATAAATACATTACTTGCTACTTCATCTGCATTCAATACTTTTGACCTCAATTGACCCACAGTATGATCCTAGAAAAATAAATGAATATTTACAATATTACAAAAAAGAAGTCATGCAACCCGAAGCAACATTATTCTACTTCAATGGAATTAAATTCAAAATTTTCTCTCGATTTGTTATAGTTCTTCTAATATAATCACTGATGGATAGATCAATATATATTATTAAAACAAAATTGAAATATAAAGTCATCCGATGTTGTTGGACATTTAGAAAGTTAGACGAAGGGGAATCCTAATAGAGATACATGTATCTTGAATATATTCTCTAGCAGAAAAATGATCCGCTGAGAAGTTATTTGATGTTAAGAAGTTTCTATGATAATTCCTGTGATTGAATAATGTTTTGAAAAAAAAATTCACTGACAAAAAAATATATTCAATGATAAATTAATTTATATTGAGATGTATTTAGATTAATCCTATCAATGGCATCAGACATCCATAATGTGCAATATAGAAAAAAATAATTCCTAATAGTTCTTCACCGGTAATTCTTTAGAAAGTATTAGTTCATATTCTTACTGCAATTTTATTATTAATAGACATATTCATCTGTAGTTGTAAAAAATCTATATGTTCATTTGATTTTGATAATGATTTTTTTTCGAACATTAACAATTTCATAAATTCGATCGATCAAACAGAGAACAGGAAATTCTTCAATAGAATTTCTTAATGTTGGTGTTAATTCAGCAGCTTTTCTGTGAACATCCAATACGCAAAAGAGAAAATCATGTAAAGGATGAGCAAGAAATAGTATTAAAGTGCTCAGTTGCAAAAAAAATAGGTAATTCATTTATATTTGTGTCGTATATTTTTCGAATTTTTGTAAATATGAATTATTAATATTGTTTTCAAATTAGCATTAGTATCAATATGCACACCGACCTAAATATTATCACATGAATACTTGTATATTTCATTATAGATCATCTAACTCACATATGGCATCCGTAGTCATTCGTTTGTAAAAAAACAATAATATGAATTTCTTTATTTTCATTTCGTGCTACTTTAGTTCATATTTTACTAAGTCAATCATTGATCAAAGCTATCATTGAATTAAGTTAGGCAGTCGAAAATATTAAATTAATAATGTTTCATTGATGGCNGTCTGAAAAAAATTAAATAGAGATAAATGCTGATTCATAATTATTGTGATAGGCCTGTGTTCAGGCTACATTTTCATAGTAAAACTATTTATTTAAAATAATATTATAAGCTACTTGAATCAAATACAAATTTTTCCGTTAGATATCTAACGGAAAAATTTGTATTTGATTCAAATAGCTCATAATATTATTTCAAATAAATAGTTTTATTATGAAAATGTAGCCTGAACACAGGCCTATCACAATAATTATGAATCACCATTTATTTCTATTTAATATTTTTCAGACGGATGCTGACATTGTTGGCGAGTGTCAGTGACTATACCCTAACCATTTAGTATGTAGTGAAGATAGATCCAGTTGATACTTATAATTCACTCAAAAAACCTTGAATTTAGCATCAAAATGATCGGGAGTTCATGCTCTTTCATTCTATATATGATTCAACTAGGTTTGGTCTGAAAAATCAAAAGGGGCCAAAATACGATCAAATGCGCCCCCGTCCTTTAGGTGTTTTTTTCTTCGTCAAAAATAATGCAACAATATTTAACGATAACAGAACACTTCTTTTATTTACAACCTTTTCTTCGGCGACAAAAAGGTTTACATGACTTTTTCTTTCGTTAACTAAGTATAAAAAAAGAAAGAAAAAGACATGCACGATTGCAATGTAATGCTGAGATACTTCTAGTCAACGTAGGCTGTACGAAGCAAGAATAGAATAGAAAAAAAACCATTTCAGTCACGTTTTATTTTGTTCGGTGTTGGAAGAAAAATAAGAAGTGGCATGGCGACGTCTGGTAGAACACACGCAGGTATTGTTGATGCCTCAAAATCTTCAAGTAATGGACTGGTACTTATTTGGCTGGATGATTCTGCTGAAGAAGATCAAAATGTTAAAGGCATTCTTTCCTCCCTTTTCGACAACGTAATTACCTTTACTGATCATGAAGCATGTCTTGAATTAATTGAATCAAATGAAATTAAAACGGCTTGTCTATCTGTTCTTATTTCTGGTAAATATGGTCAAATGCTTGTACGTGATCATTTACAACCATTGAATCAAGTTCAATATATATATGTCTTTTGTTTTGATACCGTAAAACATAGCCGATGGGCACAAACATGTGATAAAGTTCGGTGTGTTTTTTCGGATATTAATAAAATTCTTCAATGTATGCAATATGACATACAGACTAGTATAGAACAGCAACACGCAGGTGGCGAACAGGAACAGGAACAAGAACAGCAGCAGCAACAACAAGAACAAGGACAAGGACAAGAACAAGAACAAGAACACGAACAAGAACAAGAACCAAAACAACAACGAGAACGATTTGCAGATGACAATAATTTACTTGATCAACTTGCACTTGGTCTTTTACTTCAAAGTCCAGATGAAGGAGCTGAAGATTTTGCTAATTATTGTCGAACACATATCCAAAATAACAATCCAGATCATCATGATGTTGATGAAGAAGAACCAGGAGAAGAGCCAGAAGAACAATATTATAAACCAGAACAACCTATTGAAGAATGGTATCAACCAAATTTAGTTTTTACTAATATAAATTCCAGTGATTTAACTAAATTATGGACACTTCGTTGGTTTATACGATCATTTCATCGACAATTGACTAATGAACATGAAAAATTTATTAAAGATAAAACAAAATTTACCGTTAATCATAGTACATGGTTAAGTATAGATGAACTCGATGCAATGAAACATCGTGTTGGTCAAAAAATTATTTTTACTGAACTATTAATGACATATACAAATCGACAAGCAGCATTAGATTCTATACCAAATGATGAAAAAAATAATAAATATAAAGTTATATTCGAAATTAATATCGATCCAACCAATCGTAATACTATACCATATGCTGAAATAAAAAAAGAACAAGTTTTATTATGGTTTGGTGCTCGATATCATTTAATTAAGATCGAATTTGTTGAACAACAAGACGAACAACAAGATGCATATTGGTTAATTGGTTTAAATTTACATTCAACACTTAATCCAAAGCCTTCTATTCAAAATTTATATCAATATTATCATAAAGAAATAACAGAATTAAATGATATTCATCATGCATTTGGTCGTATACTTATGTATCAAGGTTCGTATGCTCAAGCAGAAAAATGGTTACAAACAGGTAATCATTATCAAGAATTAACTGAATTAGCTATACGTCAAGGTCATTATGAACAAGCTAAGCAATATCTTGAACAGTTACCTGAAGACTCTTATAATACTAATTTATTGCATGCTTATTTAAATATTTTAACATCGGCTGATAATTTTGCCAAAGCACGTTTTACTTTAATGAAAATTCTTTCTGAAGCAACAGATAAATATATACGAGCTCAAGCTAATATTGTTCTTGGTTTTATTAATTTAATTATAACACAACAAATTGATGTTGCATTTGATCATTTTACAATAGCTAATGATATTCTATGTCAAATTTTACCAGATATTCATCCAATTATCGCTAAATCATATATTGGAATGGGTTATACATATTATATTCAACATAACATAGTTGATGCTAGAAAATGTTTTCAAACGGCTTTAAATATTCAAAAGCAATCATTAACATATAATCATCCAGATTTTGCTAAAACACGAAATGGTATTGCTCATTGTTATTCCAGTGATAAACAAACAGTCAAACAAGCATTGAATGAATTTGAATACGCATATCATATTTTATTAGATGCATTTCGACATGAACATCAAAATCATCCAGAAATATTAGCAACTAAGAATGATATTGAAAAATTAAGAAAAGGAAAAGAATTACGTTCACGTAATGTCTTACTTGACTATATTTAATTTTTTTATGAAAATAATCAATGGTTTTTTTACAGTTTTACATGATATGAAAATTCTATTCTCGAAATTTTGTCATTAATAAATGGATGTTTGTAGACATTCGCCCATCATGCTAGTTCTTCATTAATTTATTTAGATGAAGAAAAAAATCTTGTAAAAAATTATAAAAATAACGATTAGCGATGCATTGTTTCAGTTTAGATTAGTAAAAAAAGAAGTTCAAAATACTCAAATATATGAAAAAAAAACTCAACAATACTCATAATACAAAATTCTATGTTTGATCGGTTTATAAAGAGCACTAAATTAATGAAATAAATCATTGAAAAATGTTTCGCAATAACTGTATATATGAGTGTTTCAATGACAACAACATTTTCACTATGATAGACACTTATTAATAGTATCTTGCACGAACGACTTCTCTTGGGTTCCGTTTCCTGATATGCTATCAGAATTCCTATTAAGACTTTATTTTTCGTGTTTGATAAAAACTATCATTACCAGTTTTGGCTTCTGTCAACACTGTACATTTCGCAATGTAAGATAGTCTTAAATTGAAGATAAATTTATTATTAGAAGTACATTTCTATTGATACATATTTGTTATTATTCTTTTAATCAATAAGAGATTCAAAAGTCTTTGAAAAAATATCGAAACAATTTTTCAACAATAAAATATGAGATTGACTTCGACACTTTTTGTTTGAAAACACAAAGGTCGCAAAGTATATACATAAAACAAATCGATTTTCCGGAGCGACCATTTTTTAATATCTTTCTAGTCTCCGATTCTCGCGGGTAACGAGCCGGAAATAACGGAAAGGAAGTTGTTCCCATAGAGCACTACTTATTGTACTAACGAGAGAAACTAACAAACTAGCGGACATTATCTGATTTCATATCATTACTGCAAGTAGATCTTTGTGAGATAAAGAAAATTTCCAAAAGATTCGTACTCGTAGTCTACTGATGGAGATAGTTATGATTCTTATACTAAAAGTTTCATTGAGAGTAACAACTTAAAATAAAGAGTTTTGATCTGAAATTGTGCCTACACATAGATGTATTAGTTATTAGATTGCTCTAAAAGTTTCGAAAACAGCCAAACATGTCTGTCTCGAGGTGTTTAATTCTCAACAGAAAGACATGTTCGTCGTCATTGAAACTTTGATAGCTATCTAACGCTTATTTGATCTATCTATAGACAAAAATTTCTGATCAAAATTCTTTAGTTTGTATTGTCAAACTTCACTAATAGACCATGAGTACAAATCCTGCTGAGATTTACTCCAAGGTATCTCTGTGATTGGACCAATACAAATACACCAAGTACAAGTACAAATGCTTGTTACTTAACAGTTGTAGTTTGGACTTGTACTTAAATAAAATGTACTTCTCAAAATTTTTAAGTAAAAAGTCCGAAAAATAATAAGTATTGTACTAAACATCCAATCACTGATGTATCCATGTACTGAGCCAATGGTCAGCAGAGTATCTTTTCGAGTACTATGTTATCAATATATGACAGGATCTTGGTTGTGTAGCGTGCTAAAAATTATCTCAGTACGTGGGTACTTAGCAGGCACTTGTAT